ATCTTTTGTGCAGCACTTTGGAAACCTTGACTTACATCAAGTCACAAACAAATTGTTAATATTTCCAATAAATACATCAAATGTCTTAAATATTTGGCAAAACCAGAAAATATGACTACAAGTTTTTATGCATTTTATTTATTTTATTTTTTATTCTATTCTATTCTATTTTATTTTATTGTTTGTTTATCGTTCTATTGTCTACTTTTTTTGTGTTATCTATTTATTGTGTTTATCTTTTGTGCAGCACTTTGGAAACCTTGTGTTTGCTAAAATCGTGCTATATAAATAAAGCGGATTGGATTGGATTGATTCACCGCATCTTCTCCGACTTTATATTTAGCTGCTGAATTTGTGAAATAAAATAGAAGGGGGAATGTTAAAATACTAACAAACCAACGTTGTTACATATCATTTAGCATATATTATTCAATTCAGTTCAATTCAAAAGGTTTATTCTCATATGCACAGTAAGAACCACAGTGGTTTATACCATACAATGAAAATCTTACATTGCCTGACTCCCTTTACACAACAGTACAATAATAAGACAAAAATACACAACACAAATAGAATGAAGTTAAAATAATGTTGTATGTTATTATTGCAATAATGTCTATATATTGTATCTACATTTTCCTGCTCTCAATAATGAGCTAATGTCCTTCTGTTAGTAGGAGAACTAAAAGTAGTGAACTTTAGTAAGTGATAAAGTGGGTCAGCTGGATATTTTTGGTCTCATTTATAATTGTTGTAGTACTTTGTTTTCACATTTTCTTAATACAACAAAGAAGGTCTTAACCAGTGTTTTTTTGTTTTTTTTTTTATTTAGACTTTTTTGTGTAAATCTTATATATTATAGTTGTATGCATATGTAATATGTATTGAATACCACAACACGTTTACTCCCATTAAAAACCAACCATTGACAGTATGTATGAAACCAACACAACAGTGACGTCACAAGGGCCTTCAGACAAGCCGCGCTGCCTTCAAGTGCTGTCGGAAAACACTAAAACATACGTAGCCTGCGTTGCAAACCTTACCTTATCCCTCAACTTTTCTCCTCTCAGACACACTGTCTATGACGATTTTAGCGCATGCATATATATATATATATACATATAAAAAAACATGTTTGTGTTAAGTATATAAAAAAGAAAAAATCCCTAGCATGCTGATTTGTAAACACGTTTGGCTTTGACCCGTCTCGCACTAGGACCACTCAGCCGCGTGTCAGCTGATAAGGCAGCCAGATATATGCGACGCGAGTCTGTATGGCCCACAGCTTTTTCAGCTTGTTGCGAAAACGGATGTGCCTGCCGTATTAGGCCCATGTCTGAAAACCCAGACAGACGGTCACATTTCAACAGAAAGTCAACTACACTCGAATACGTCGGCTACAGGTAAAAAAAAAAACAAAAGAAAAAAAAGCTTAAAATGAGCTTATGCGTCCGGGTAATGGCGCGTTAACGTGTTCTTGTCTCTCAGCGGTACGCATTAAGTGTGCCGCTTGATGACAAACCTCTCTGTGTTAGCTTATGTTATTTTCTTTATCCGCTGCAGCAGCAGAGCAAGATGGAGTGTGAGTGGAAGCCAGACGAGCAAGGACTCCAACAAATTTTACAGCTGCTGAAAGAGTCTCAGTCGCCAGATACGTCCACACAGAGATCCGTCCAGCAGGTATCCTTTGCTAAGCCCGACATGGAGGACAACACATGCTCGGTCACTTGTTAGTGCTGAATAATGTCAGATAAGACTCAACAGGCGAGCGATAGCTCATACTAGCCGAGGTGGTTACCGTTATAAGCAGGTAACGCAGGTGATCTAATAAGCTCAACATGCTACGAGCAGGAGCAGGCCGTGCCGTGCCGTGCCGTGCTGTGCTGGAGTCCTCACGTCTGGCCGTTTCTAACGTTAGACATTGGTGTATTGTGTCAAACGTCGCATGTAAGCGTGATCCAGCAGTTAATCGCCTCCATATACTTTACAATAGGCTCCTGCAAAATTAATTAAGTTGACAGCCAATTTATGCTACCTAATCGTCTGACAACACTGGTGCAACGTGCTGATCAGTTTGGGCTTTGTAAGGAGCTTATAGCTAAACATGATATTCATTTTACACTGCATTAAAACGTAGTTTGACATGTGAAATGTCTGAAACGTTTTACAAAGCAAAACAGTTGTTGAATTAAACTGCTGTGTGTATTGTAATAATGGTGTATTAATGATTCTTTTAATAGAAAAGTGTCACCATGCATCCAATTAGTGTCTGCCTATTGGCTTAGATCATCTTACACCATAAACATAACACCAGTTTTTAAAAGAAGTCATAAGAGTGTTACACTAAAATGTATACAGTAAGCTTCTGTGCATAAACCGAAATTTAAAAAATGAAATCATTGGTGTTTAATAAATTCACCAGCATCCCAAAATCTACAATTCTCTAACGACAGGACAAAGAAACAAATAAAAAGTGTTTGGTTATAAATAAAAATGTGTTATTATTAATCAGAGATGTTAGATCACAATTGAAATGTGAGTAAAATAAATATAATAAAAGTAATTATAGCGGTGTAACATTTAAAGTGCATTATAAATCTGTCTCATAGTCTCTGGACTGTTGTCGAAGGTAAATTTGCTTCAATATTTTGTATCAGCCGCCACATACTTTTGCATTATTCTTATTTACAGTCATTTCGGTTACTATCATCTACTGCTCCATGCTGCTGGTCCTTATGTTTTCTATCTGGTTGCATGCTGACCCTAAATTACTTCCTTATGTAATGCTTCATATGCATTGCATCATTAACTCATAGACAAGCTGCTGTTAGAGCCCTAAATACGCCATCTGGCTGCTTGGTACGTACAGTAGTTAGTCACGTGTTATGACATATTCATGACCCCCTCCAAATACACAAACAACACTGTTTTACTGTTACATGACGCCATCGCTTGACTACATAAACTTCTGCTCTTCATGTGTTTCTTCAGATGAAAAAAAAAATCTGTCTGTGCCGCTGTTACCATGTAACAGTCTGCAGTGCTAATGTGGTCACAACCTTCATACAGTCAGCACCTTGTTTTCCTCAACCACTTCTTTCAGAGACTTGAGCAGCTGAACCAGTATCCAGACTTCAACAACTATTTGATATTTGTTTTGACAAAGTTAAAATCAGAAGGTAAGCTCTCCGTACTGTCTGTTTCAGTATGTCATTTTGTCGCATCTGCACCGTGTGTTCGTAGATTATCTGACTGCACGGGACAGTGTGAACGTTGGACATGACATTTTCATGTAACTGCTCAGTGACAGGTCTGTTTGGCCGTGACTCGGGTGACCCGATGGCATCTTTGCCACAGATGATGTGGCACTCAGAATATGGGTCACTCTAATTTTAAACCTAATTCCTGGCACCACTCAACTCTTGGCTTGACTGTCTGCACAGTAGATGACCGACATGTTAAGTGGTGTTAAGACATTTTATGATGCTGCTGGTGGATGCACTACTGCTTTTAGTTTAAATGCAACAAGCCACAATTGTTTAGTATTTCAGTATATTAGTATTTATTTTAATTTAATTTTTGGTCTTGTTACTATCCATCATTTCAGTATCTAGTTTGGCAGTTTGCATTTCCCCAGTTAAAGCACTGTGCTGGGTTCAATTAAAAAAGGATATAAAGGCAACAATACCCTGTGAAAATTACTAAATCAAGTTATCAGCCCTCACAGCACCATTGTCTTGTTACTCTACTGGAGTATTTGTGCTCAGCTAAAATGTTATTTTACAATTTAGATTAATCAGTCTTTTCTCCACCCACCAAGATGAACCTACGCGGTCCCTCAGCGGGCTGATATTGAAGAACAATGTGAAAGCCCACTATCAGAACTTCCCGAGTGGCGTGTCTGATTTCATCAAGAGCGAATGCCTCCAAAACATCGGAGACTCGTCTCCCCTCATCCGGGCCACTGTGGGTAAGTTGCATCCTCTGGGTCCACTGAATGTGATGGCTTGCTTTTCAGATGCCACATGAAATGTTCAGTCACCATAACTCGCTTGTTCATATCTGCAAAAGAGAAATGTCCACCTTTAATAGTGCAGTGTACGGTTGTTAAAGGCAGTGTTTTGGGACGTACCTTACATCACTAATCCTGTGTGGCTCTCTGGTGGTGATTTGCTTATTTGCTGACACAACTTTCTGTCACATTGAACTTACAGCTAACGACATCAATTATTCGGTAAATGTCAGAATTCGTCTGTAGTTGCAGTAGACAAAGCGAGTTAAGTTATACATGTAGCTTGGGAGTTTCCTGTTGATATATATTACCTATAGTTAAAATGTTGTTAGGACAGGAATAGGACTTCTATGTGTCACTCCTTATTAAAGCAGGGCAATGAACACAGCACCTCATAAGGTTTGTATAAACAGCCTTACAGGCATACAGCATCAAAAGCTTGTCAGTGATTAAGGCCAGCTTTTGATGTCATATACT